CTACACTACGACGACGACTACTACTACTACCACTACTGCGATTGCTGCCACCATCACCACCACCACCACTGCTTTGGGCAAGTGACCACGGTCACTTGGCTCACTTGGTTCCATTGGTGTTTCCCAATTCGTAGCGTGGTCCCCAAACCAAGCAGGTGACCATGGTCACTTGCCCAAGTCGCAGCGTAATCCCCAAACCCAGTTGACCAAGCGGCGCATACCGATTAGCGGTGGTCGAATCCCGGGAAATGCACTACTCCTCTACTCTACTGCTACTACTGCTACTACTGCTACTACTGCTACTACTGCCACAACTGCTACTACTACTACTACTACTACCACTACTACTACTACTACTACTACTACTACTACTACTACGACTACTACTGCAACTGCTACGACTACTGCTGCTACTGCTACTACTACTGCTACGACTACTGCTGCTACTGCTACTACTGCTACTACTGCTACCACTACAACTGCTGCTACACCAGTCCTACTGATACTCCCGCTCCTACTCCTACTCCTACTCCTATATACCCCTCTCCTACTCCTACTACTGCTGCCACCGATTCACAAGCAGCAGCGGTGGCCGTCGTAAAAGAAGCGATCTATCATTCTTGCAGATGTAAGGCTGATACCAAATAGCATCCCCACCTGGAACCCTAGTAGTGCATGGATGCCATGTGCATCCTCGGCTCTCCGCACAGCTGGCAAAGATCCGCTGCACATCAGGGCATCTCCCAGGCCCAGACTGTTCACGAATCTTTGACGACATCCGTGGTCTGGAAATTGAAGTTGTGCTCATGTAGGAAGCTTAATGCTGATCTTGAGCGACCGCCAACATCCTCGAACGTGGGTTCTGGGGGTGTCACCGTGTGACAGGGGCTTGGGGCTTGGAGTGGCAACCGGAAGGCCTATGCCGCAGAGATGACCTCATGTCCACGCCATGGGATCCACGGAGCTCTTGCTGTCCAACATGCCTTCTTGCGCAACCGCGTGGCCGGGCTGAAAGATACCATCCATGTATGCGTGTTGCGTTCAGGGTGGAGATATCAAAAGTGAGGAATCCAAGACCTTTGCTGACTTTACTTCGAGGGCCAGTGGACCGGACTGCCCTCCTCGGTGCCACGGACCCGATCGCACAAGCAGGCGCTACTTGCGGCAGAGCTACACGAGGCAATGATCCCAGTGAAGCATCTCCAACGACTCATGAGCCAAGCTTTTAAAGAAATACTGGCGAACGGTCTTGACTGTCTTCACCTCAAGCATCACGAAAGAGTCGGCTGGACGTCACTTCTTCTCCTCATCGCCCGAATTGTGAAACGTCATGCTGCAAACATGGGCGCTTTAAGGTGACAATGCGGACCTGCAAAAGCCGTCCAAAAGTTTCCAAAACCTCAAAGGACACACATTCCCGGCATGAACGATGCCCGACCCTAGACCACCAAAGGCAGGTCGAGCGAAGGAAAGGCAAAGTGGAAGATATGCAAAGAAAAACTTACATATTGTAACGTCACCTCAGACACACAGCCGCAACTGAAACCTGTAACCTGCGAGTGGAATTAGGTCCCTTCGTGACCCATTCAAATTTAAATTCCGAGGCCCATGAGAGCAGGAACCGGAAACATGGCGATCAGTGACCTCTTCGAGGAATCACTTCACATAAGGCACTTCCCCCTGGGCCAGCGAGCAAGTTCAAAGAGCTTTCTTTGCGGGCTTGGCTGAGAATAACGGAGAAAGAGCCTTAAACGAGCGATTGAGGTTTAAGTTTCAGTGCATCGTGGCTTTAAGGGCAGGCCAAGCCTCCAACACAAGACAATCCCTGTGAAACTGAGGTTCTGACTCCTTGCAGTTTCCTGGGCGCAACGGAGGGCCCACAGTTTTGCAAGGCACTTTCATCTTCTGGGCAGGTGGGGATGGCGAAGGCAACCTACTTCTGGTAGCAACTCCGCTGCGAGGGAATCGCTAGGAAGCTCATCAAGTCGGATACACATTAAACCCTATCTACAGTCCACCAGAGTAGCAAATGACTCTCAACACAACTGTTGGGGAAGGTCTTAGTCTTGCCGACGCAAAGGACGGTGACATGCGGCCAGGCTCTCCTCAAAACCCGAATATGGAACATTCAACAAAAAGAACTTGAACACGAGCCTTCCCAACCTCCAAACCCCAAGCCCCATCCTCCAGTCAAAAAAACCTTGCACCCAGTGGCCCGCCAAAGTAGGCGGAGAAGGGCGCGAGGACGAGGCTCAGAGTGGCGCTCCTGAAATCCGGCCGCGAGTTGCGAGCGTCTGATTTCAAGTCTCGGCCGGGGCGCCGAGTTCAGGTGCTTCCCACTTCCCACCGCGCACCTTCTACGGTTCTCTCCCAAGTTTGGTTTTGAGAGATCCCGATGAAAGAAACCAAGCGAAGCAAAAATCCCCAACAGCAGCACGGTCTCGTTACTAGCCTTGCTGTGTTCAGAACAATAGGCATGGGTGCACTGTGTAAGAGCCTGACGTCTTACACTCTCACACTCTTTCGTTGCTGGAATGGAAAGGTCTCTCCCCCAACCCTCTGCCCCGAAGCCTTGCAGAAGAATCTTCTTCGTTCCTGTTCTTTCGAGAAACACCTCAACCCATAATCCATGAACACAAATTCCGCAGAGCCCGTGCCCCAAAACCCTTGGCCACACAGCTCACAGGCTCAAGGGCCCGACACTACTTGGACGATGGCGTAGGAGACAAAGAGGCCCCCAGCCTGGAAAGCGGTGTTCATTTCAGGCCTGTTTTAATGAATCACTAAAGATTCCGGGTCTTGATTTAGAGTTCTGATTCTCAGCTAGGGTCTGGAGCCAAAGGTTTAGGCCTTCTGCTTTGGGGCCTGGGTGTTTTCTCTCGCCTTCTAGGGCTTTGCATGTATAGTCACTCAGAAAACTGAGTTTTCGATTAAAGTGGCTCTCAGGTCAACCTAATCTTCGACACTGCCATATGCCATCGAAAGGGCACAGAAGAAGGCTTCGGGGTGCGGTAGGTAATGCAAGTGCAGAAACGTTACCAGTTACTGGCAACCGGTTCGGCCACGAACGACCTGGGACCCGGACATCTGCCACCAGCTGCATGCCACCGCCGTTGAAACATCTACCCTGTGCACTTGAACTAAATGAGTCATGAGTCATGCTCGAAGCAATGTCGGGCAGGAAGCTTTGTCTGTCTGGCTTGCAAAACTGACTTGAAGGCAACACTGGGTGGCGTGCCATTTCGAGCTCTGCCATGAAACCCTGCGTGCCCGCACCAACCTCAAGGGCGGAGCAGAGGGTAAAACAGTGCGTCTCGAGGAGCCATGCTAGCTGCATCTAGCTGCACTTCGGATCCTTCCTCGCTCTGACATGGCGAAGCTGCATTCTCTCAGCCAGGCACGACGAGACCGAACGCCAACCACTTTACGAGGCTGGAGAAGACGTTGGTCGCTGCCTTGAACACCACCGCATCTGGCCTTCATGCAAAGAAGCTGTATACAGGCTTCTGCCACGAAGGCCTGAAAGCACAAAGAGCTCGGAGCATGGCAGTGTAAAGATGGTGATGATGTCAACCAGGTCTAGGAAGATGCCAATGGCAGCCTTGACGTTCCAGGCGGCACAAAGTTGCTGGAACGTTCCACTGCTAACCCCTCAGCTGAGCAAAGCACTAAGATGTAGGACCACGATGTCACTCGTGTCACCATCTGGTTGGTTTTGCAGACCTGCAACACAAAGGCTAAGTCCAGCTGCCTCCGCACCGCCACAAACACCATCATGTCAAGTAGGCCAGCAATTCTGCAGTTCTTGATGCGGACAACCACGCCAACACAAGGCAAGTAGTCGCCCAAAAACGCTCATGTTGATGAAGCTCTGCCCATGCCTTGACCCGAACATGCCCTCCTCGCTAAGGGTGCCCTCTCTCTCTCTCACACGGACTCGAGTCGAGCATAGGCTAAGGGTGCCTTATTTCCCAAAACCCTCACTTCCCGCACACATCCTTCCCCGAAGATGCGACTGGTTGAACAGTGTACTCAGTGTACCTCAGACCTGCTTACACCTTGGCGGCCATCCAGAATCACCGTCCCGAGAGGAACCCCTACAAATCTCGGGACGTAGATGTAGATTCACCGGGACAACAACCATCCTAACGCCACTAACGAAAAATGCAAAACAGGCCCCTGCTTTCCAAGCATAGCAAAGAAGTGCCCGACCGAGGTAGCACAGGTCCGCGGGATGTCTGCAAAGTCGCGGCACCAATTGAAGTCCTCACCTCCGCAAGCTCTAAGGTTTAAACTTCAGCAAGCTCATGGCTTAAACTCTTGCACAAGTCGGCAAACCTGAACCGCATCCCATCACCACCTTTTTGCAAAACCCCAGCATGGTAGTTGGGGACTCGGGGCTTCGATCAGAACTGGTCAGGCCCCACACATCGCAAGGTGCCCGGACCGCAAGCGTCCGCACACTGCTGGCCGGAGTCTTAACTATGGGAGAGGAGGGAGGCGGGGATCCAAGGACGACGTTGCTTGTAATAGGTTGATGGAGGGTCCGGCGTAAGAGCATGTTCCAGCAAGGGTCCTCGACCGATCAGAGAGCATATTGGTGGGCATGCGAGTCTAGTTCGGGACCCTTTTGAACCGGACTTGATAGTTCGGGACCCTGCGGCACCAACCCCAGCCACGAACTGCTTCCTAACAACCAAGCGGAAGACTGCCCCATTGTAAGCATGCGGCAAGAGGTGAGGCCATGCTGGCAATACAGCCCGACGATGGGCGAACGCGAGCCTCACAGCAGAAAAAGATGGCATTGTCTGAAGTCTTGCATAGGCTGAAAGGCCCAAGATTCAACAGGGCACATGTTTGTTCGGGGCTGTTCGGGACCTCTGATTCATTTGCGGCAGGTTTAACTCCACTCCCCGCACGAGTCATGGAGAGGCGTACCACTTGCATAAGATGCCAAGACCGCGGCAGAAATAGCCAGGAGGGCAGCAGCGATCCCAGCCTTCGCACCACGAAAACTCCGCTTACAAATCAAGCAATATGCATAAGAGAACGCTTCTTACTGGCATAACATACCGTGACAGTGCACCAGTAACAGACACGCGCAAGCAGGCTATGGTCCGTCAGCGATGCAGAATGCCAAAAGGCTGAGGCAGCAGCATTTGTCCGTGATCGCATTGGGGCACAAATCCAAGGTGCTTCCTGAAATATGCTGGCAAACAAGCGGTCAGGACTCAGACCCTCTGCAAGCGAAACTGCCAGCGCTTGGAAGAGGACACCTACCATCTACCCACAAAACATCACACCTACCGAAGCCTAAGATCCGATTCTGGCCTGACCGGGTTTCAACGGAATTTTCACGACTGACGCAGTAGCGCCGCTCCAGCACGAGCACATTATGGCACTGTGCTAACGGCTTGACGCACGGATCGTTACACTGCGGCCCGCGAGATGAAAGCAGTTTCCTGACTAGAGAACACCAGTGCCCGTCCAATGACTTGTTCCACATGAGTAGGACCTTAGCCCGACGGAAATCGCTGCGGGATTGCTTGCAGCCGAGTTACTAAGACAAGGCAAATTCTCAGAGCGGAGGTCACCACGATAGTTCTCTGTCCTCAGCAGTCGGAGGTTGGCAAAGCCCGGCATTTCGCTTGCTGAGGAAACATTGAAACATGCACGGCGTGATTTTGACTTTCATGAAAATCCCTATTTTAGGTGGGCTAGGTTGGCTTGGCGCAATTGCGATTCACATAACAACCCAAAGTAAACTTGAGGAAGCCACCCCCGAGAAATAGTTTCGAGGTATCTTCTTGCAAGATTGCTATCATAAGCAAACACCACCGAAACCTCGAACGACATTCCCTGCCGCACTCGGAAAGTTTGCCAGACGGCCAGCGCACGCTTCCACGGCACCCTCTAGCGATCCCACCACAACCTTCGGAAACCCAGCCATGCGCTGATGTACTATGTTCCCGGCATCTGGTCCATGAACTGCTCGAACACGAACGCGAACGTGAATGCGGTGATTGCTGTCGCCAAGCACATACCTGGCATAATCGAACACAACATGTATGGAAGGCAGGAAAATTCACCGGATGCATATTCTTGTATGTTAGTAAGTGAAAGCAACAGCACAACCCCCTCTTGTGCAAGCTGATCCGTCAACAACACCTGGATTTGATTGATGGGCCGACGGGCGCGCCTGTCAGAAATATTTGAATTACAGCTCTGGTGCTGCAACGCTTCGCCATGGTTGTGGCGCGGCGCTGCCCTAGAGCCTGTCAACAGTGAGCCGCATCATGACAGCCACAGCCCAGAAAGAGAACGAAGGCCTGGAAGCCGCCGCTTGGATTCTGGCACCTCCCCTACCACTTGCACCCTACCTAATCTGCCCGGGAAGCCAGAAGAGAAAGCGCGTTGTGGAGCACATGGACAGACCGCACAACACCATGTGCAAGAAAGCATACACCCATGATGATGTATGATTGATGTATGCATGCAAGCACTTCGCATGTGAATCCAGTCGCTACAGTAGCGTCACTGTTTGCCATTCACGCTGCGTCAATGTGCCCGTAAGGCTGCCTGTGGAGAAACCAACCGTTTGTTTTCACGATGTGCCTTCAAATGCTCGCATGATTTAAAAGACGATGAACTGTGCGAGAAACTGGCGCCGGTGTCAGATCGAGACCAGTGCAAAACTGTGCGTGGTATGAGGCGCATGCCGCACGGCGCGAAATTGGCGACGGTGACAGAGCGACGGCTGAGGTTTTTTCCACGAGGTCGGCCAATGTGCTGGGTCGATGGCTTAGCCTGACGCAACCGGACTGGTGTGAATCGGCGAGGATTTGCCATCTGCACGTCCGTGCCAGTCGGACGCGATTCCCGGCATACAGGCATCCCACCCGAGCAGCACACCACTCACGAAAGCGTTGGCTGGACTGCGCGTGGAACCACTACCATTAGAAGGAGCGTTCCGATGGACGCGGCCCAAACAGCCTGATTGGGAAAAAAAGTAAAATAAAGGTAAAGCAAAGGTGAACAAAGCAGGAACGAGTTGAAACAAAAAGGTAAATGAAAGGTGAAAAAAGGTGAAGACCAGGCACAGGGCACGTGACTCGGATTGTCCTGCACTCTCCCACGCCCGCCCACCAGCCGGGTGGTGGGCGGGCGTGGGCGTCCCAATCGATTTCCTGTACAACAAACGAGAAAGAATGTGTAAAAAACAGAAACAAACGGTGTAAAAAAAAAGAAAAACACAAAAGTAAATGTCACGCGCAGGCCAGGTGATCCGGGATTTCCCACACACCTGTCCTTTGCGTGGCCTTTACCTTTTTTTTACCTTGTTTACACCTTTCTTTTATCTTTTTTTACACCTTTCTTTTATCTTTTTTACACCTTTTTTTCGCCTTTTTGTGCAGGAAATCGATAGGGACGCCCACGGCCCTCCACCACCCGGGCTGGCGGGCGTGCATCCCTATCGATTTCCTGCACGAAAGGCGAGAAAAAAAGGTGTAAGAAAAATAAAAGAAAGGTGTAAAAAACATAAAAAAAAATAAAGGCCACGCAAAGGACAGGTGTGTGGCAAATCCCGGATCACCTTGCCTGCGTGACATTTACCTTTTTTTACATTTTTTACACCTTTTTGTTTCGCCTTTTGTACAGGAAATCGATTGGGACGCCCACGCCCGCCCATCATTCGGCTGGTGGGCGGGCATGGGAGAGCGCAGGAAAATCCGAGTCACGTGCCCTGTGCCTGGTCTTCACCTTTTTCCTACTTTTTTTATATTTGATTTGCCTTTTTGTTTCACCCGACTTTATTTCACCTTTTTTACTTGTTTACCTTTTTTTTACCTTTGCTTCACCTTACAACTTCACCTTTATTTTACCTTTTATTTATCTTCCTTTTATCTTTTTTTAAGGTATTCAAACAAACATCTGCCTCTGTCTCCATGGATCGGACCATTAATGGCCGCCGTGCTGATGTGTATGGGGTTGACGGCTACCTCACGGCCGCCGCGTCGAGGCATACGCCGGCACGAATGCAGCAGCAGCAGCAGCAGCAGCAGCAGCAGCACCACCACCACCACCACCACCACCACCAGCAGCAGCAGCCCCAGCACTCGCCGACGATGCCCGACGCCGCCGAGCTCGCCGCCGACGCTGCTGCCAACGACCGTGGGTGCCCCTTTGCCCGTCTGGCTGAGCCACCGAGCACCGCCGCTTGCGCCTCGATCCCCGAAACATCTTGGGCCGCCGCCCTGACGCTGTCGACTTCGTGGAAGAGGTCTGATGCCTTTTGCCAACAATGCACGGCGTGCCGCCCTTCATGCGGCTTTTTAAAAATCTGCCCGTCGTACGCGACGGATGCGGACGCTTTAATCGAACGCAAACAAGAGCAAGCTGATGGAGTCTTGAGGCCCAGCGCTTCTTGCTCGACCTGCTCCGGGTTCGGCCGCAACGAGCCCCGCCGGCCCTGCGCGCTGCAGCTCGAGCGGGCATGGTCTCGTGGCCGTGCAGCA